GGCAGTTCAAGACGTCTCTTGTTGTTGTAGTTCATTCATTCAGTCCTTTCCGACTCTTCGTGACCTCATGGACCAGCCCACGCCAGAGCTCCCTGTCAGCCGTCACCACCCCCAGCTCCTTGAGAGTCAAGCCAGTCACTTCAAGGATGCCATCCATCCATCTTGCCCTTGCTCGGCCCCTCTTCCTTTTTCCTTCCATTTTCCCCAGCATCATTGTCTTCTCTAAGCTTTCCTGTCTCCTCATGATGTGGCCAAAGTACTTCAACTTTGTCTCTAATATCCTTCCCTCCAATGAGCAGTCGGGCTTTATTTCCTGAAGTATGGACGCATTGCTGTGGCCCAGTCTCGTGAGCTGGAAAAGAAAGTAATGGTTTCTAATCTATGTAATTTCTTTATGCTTGTAGGTAAACAATATTACTTCTTGTTTCTTTGTCAGTGTTGATGTGGAGAGTGTCTGGCTTGCCTACTAAGGAATTTGCAACATATCGCTGTCCTTCTTTAGGGTTCCCTTTCAAATTTATGATACTATACCTCTGTGTGTGTGAATCATATATATCTATTTATATCTATGGCTGGATGGCTCTTTGTCAGGAGGGTTTTGATTATTTTCTTGCCCTGGTGAAGAGTTGGCTGGGTGGCCTTAAGTATTTTCTGTTGGTCATGAGGGTTTTCTGTGGGAAGTTTGCCCCAATTCTGTCGTTGGTGGGGTTCAGAATGCTCTTTGATTGTAGGTGAACTATAAATCCCAGTAACTACAACTCCCAAATGTCAAGGTCTATTTCCCCCCAAACTCCATCTGTTCATATTTGGGCATATGGAATATTCGTGGCAAGTTTGGTCCAGATCCATCATTGTTTGAGCCCAAAGTGCGCTCTGGATGTAGGTGAACTACAACTCCCAAACTCAAGGTCAATGCTCACCAAACCCTTCTAGTGTTTTCTGTTGGTCATGGGAGTCCTGTGTGCCAAGTTTGATTCAATTCCATCATTGGTGGAGTTCAGAATGCTCTTTGATTGTAGGTGAACTATAAATCCCAGCAACTACAACTCCCAAATGACAAAATCAAAATTTTTGAGTGAAGGACATACATTGGGTTGTTAGGTGTATGCTGTCCAAATTTGGTGTCCATTGGCCCACTGGTTTTTTGAGTTCTGTTAATCCCACAAACGAACATTACATTTTTATTTATATAGACTAGTTATTCCTTTCAAATTTACATGCTCCTCTACAACCCTGTTCCATGGTCAGTTCTGACTGATGCTACTTGGTCCTTATACAGATCTGGGTTGTTGTAGGTTTTTCCGGGCTATATGATGAACCAACCTGGACACAGCATATTATTTGACAACACAGAAATGCTGGACCACTCTCACAACACCATGTCAGACTACACAGAGAAGCCATTGAAATCCACAAGCATGTGGACAATTTCAACAGAAAGGAAGAAACCATGAAAATGAACAAAATCTGGCTACCAGTATTAAAAAACTCAAAAATTACAACAGCAAAACAACAGAGGGGAAACAAACAGGCACATAAAATCACGCTCAACAAAAGATTTCCCCCAGGCACTTCCAAGCCATTGAATGCTAATCAAGGTGGTCAGTTGAAACATTCACACCTAGCTCCAGCAGACAAGAGTCCTTTGTCCCACCCTGGTCATTCCACAGATATACAAACCCTTTTTCCTAGTTCCAACAGACCTCACTACCTCTGAGGATGCTTGCCATAGATGCAGGCGAAACGTCAGGAGAGAATGCCTCTAGAACATGGCCATATAGCCCGGAAAAGTCTACAACGACCCAGTGATTCCGGCCATGAAAGCCTTCGACTTATACAGATCCCTCAGGAGAGAGACAAGGTAGATTAGTATCCCCAAACCACCAAGAACTTGCCACAGGCTAACCTGCTAAAAGTCTCCCATTATTCCATAGTACTTTTTTTTTTGTCGTGTCAGAGCAACCAGTCCATTATATTACATTCTAACAGAACAAAGCAAACAAAGAGAAAAATACACAACTTGTGAGTTTGGTAGCTGGTTAAATGTCCTTTGACCAGTATCTGGCCACTTGGAGTGCTTCCGGTGTTGCTGCAAGAAGGTCCTCCATTGTGCATGTGGCAGGGCTCAGGTTGCATTGCAGCAAGTGGTCAGTGGTTTGCTCTCCCCACTCGCATGTCGAGGATTCCACTTTGTAGCCCCATTTCTGAAGGTTGGCTCTGCATCTCGTGGTGCCAGAGCGCAGTCTGTTCAGCGCCTTCCAAGTCGCCCAGTCTTCTGTGTGCCCAGGGGGGAGTCTCTCATTTGGTATCAGCCATTGGTTGAGGTTCTGGGTTTGAGCCTGCCACTTTTGGACTCTCGCTTGCTGAGGTGTTCCAGCGAGTGTCTCTGTAGATCTTAGAAAACTATGTCTAGATTTAAGTCGTTGGCGTGCTGGCTGATACCCAAACAAGGGATGAGCTGGAGATGTCTCTGCCTTGGTCCTTTCGCTATTGGCTGCTACTTCCCGGCGGATGTCAGGTGGTGCAATACCGGCTAAGCAGTGTAATTTCTCCAGTGGTGTAGGGCGCAGACACCCCGTGATAATGCGGCATGTCTCATTAAGAGCCACATCCACTGTTTTAGTATGGTGAGATGTGTTCCACACTGGGCATGCATACTCAGCAGCAGAGTAGCATAGCGCAAGGGCAGATGTCTTCACTGTATCTGGTTGTGATCCCCAGGTTGTGCCAGTCAGCTTTCGTATGATATTGTTTCTAGCACCCACTTTTTGCTTGATGTTCAGGCAGTGCTTCTTGTAGTCTTTGCCTGGCTTCAAGATGGCTATGACTCTTGCTTTCCTCCTGATTTTGGGGATCTGACAGGATGCAGTGCAGTTGTTCATCAGCTCCAGCAGCCAGCGCCTTGCTTTTGGACCAAAGTTCTTGATTTGTTCCATCTGTAGATCATCCAGGCCAGCTGATTGCCATTTTTACATTTATTGAGAGCCATGTCCAATTCAGTAGATGTAAAATATTGGCAATACAAGAATTACATTTAAAACACACAATATACCTCAACATATTCTGACAAAAAGTTCATGAAGGTTGTTGTTTTAGTATATCTGGTTGTCTGGGTATTGGTTTCTTTCCTACTTTGGTTGCAAGGTTGGGTTTCCCATTCTTCAAGAGTTGGTGTGCTATCTGATCTGCTTTTATGTTGGCATGGGTATTAGTTTGTGAGGGGGTCACTGCTCAACTTGCTAAAAATCTCCCGTTATTTCATAGTACTGAGCCATGGCAATTCAAGAGGTGCCAAACTGCATTAATTCTACAGTATGGACACACCCTTGGAGGTCTTCCATTCGTCTCTCTAAACCAGTGTTTCTCAACCTGGGGGTCGGACGACCCCTCGGGGGGGGGGTTGTGAGGGGGTGTCAGAGGGGTCACCAAAGACCATCAGAAAACACAGTATATTCTTTTGTCATGGGGGTTCTTTGTGGGAAGTTTGGCAGAATTGTATCATTGGTGAGCTTCAGAATGCTTTGATTACAGGTGAACTATAAATTCCAGCAAGTACAACTCCCAAACGTCAAGGTCTGTTTTCCCCAAACTCCACCAGTGTTCACATTTGGGCATATTGAGTATTCATGCCAAGTTTGGTCCAGATCCATCATTGTTTGAGTCCACAGTGCTCTCTGGATGTAGGTGAACTACAACTCCAAAACTCAAGGTCAATGCCCACCAAACCCAGTATTTTCTGTTGGTCATGAGAGTAATATGTGCCAAGTCCGGTTCAATTGCATTGATGGTGGAGTTCAGAATGCTCTTTGAATTTAAACGAATGCTGGACAGGGCCTTTTCCGTGGTGGCCCCCCGACTCTGGAACACCCTCCCCAAAGACCTTAGACAGGCCCCTACATTGGCTGTCTTCAGAAAGAACTTGAAGACCTGGCTTTTCCGATGCACCTTCCCAGATTAGGAAATCTCCACCACCAAGTCCCATAAGCACTTTATCAGAACCAATGATTGCTGCACATTGCACTTGCCCTGGAAGCCCTATATACACCTCCTGTCACATCAGCACTTTTAATCTTGTACCCATTGCTCTGGCCCGGCCCAGTTTTATTGTGTTTTAGTGTATTGTGCCTGTTGTTTATTTTGCTTTATTCTGTTTTTAATTGTTTGATTTGCTTAGATTGTATTGTTGTGTTGTGTGTCGAGGTCTCGGCCTGTGTAAGCCGCATCGAATCCTTCGGGAGATGCTAGCGGGGTACAAATAAAGTTTAATAATAATAATAATAAATCCCTGCAACTACAACTCCCAAATGACAAAATCAATCCTCGCCCAACCCCACTAGCATTCACATTTGGGTGTATTGGGTATTTGTGCCCAGTTTGGTCCAGTGAATGAAAATGCATCCTGCATATCAGATATTTACATTATGATTTATAACAGTAGTAAAATGACTGTTATGAAGTAGCAATGAAAACAATATTATGGTTGGGGGTCACCAGGACTGTATTAAGGGGTCACGCCATTAGGAAGGTTAAGAACCACTGCCATAGATGCAGGCGAAACGTCAGGAGGAAATGCCTCTAGAACATGGCCATAAAGCCCGGGAAAATCTACAACAACCCAGTGATTCCGGCCATGAAAGCCTTCGACTCATACAGATCCCTCAGGAGAGAGACAAGGTGGATTGGTATCCCCAAACCACCAAGGACTTGCCACAGGCTAACCTGCTAAAAGTCTCCCATTATTCCATAGTACTGAGCCATGGCAATTCAAAAGGTCTCAAACTGCACTAATTCTACACCCTTGGAGGTCTTCCATTCCTCTCTACAAACTGATCTCCGTGAACAGGAGCGAAAGCCGCCACTCCTTGTCTAGCCGCCCCGCAAATAACGCGCGTCGCCTTCCCGCGTGGGCCCTGCTGCCATTGGCGAAGGCGCCGACGCCTCCCTCGCGTCTCAGCCAATGGGAGAGCGTCCCTCCGCGTTCCTCATTAGCATCTCAAAAGGGGAAGGCGAGGTTAATGAACCCCTCGTAAAAAGGGAGGGGAGAGGCGCCTATGCACACAAGAATAAAGCAGGGAGGGAGAGCAAGAAAGGGGAGGAGCCAAGTCGCCCCCAAAACGCCAAACTTGGAGGGAGCCTTAGACAGAGGTGCTGCCCCCCAATAAAGCTCCCTCCTCCTTCGCTGGGAAGAAAAAGCCCGGCAAAGTGGACCATCTGCTCCACACGCAGGAGAGTTAGAGGCAGGGAGAGGATCTGGTACGTGTGGATCCAAGAGAGCTTGGTTCTCCATAAAGTAGGTCATTTTCCGAAAAGGAAGGCAAGTGGGAGGGGAAACAACACCACCCCTCTCCCACGGATACATAACCTCCTCGGCTGCGTTTAGATTTAAGTGACTTTGGGAAAGGATTCGAGAGATCTCTTCTGGATCACCATGACGGAAATCACCGAGAAGGAAAACGAGCCCCAAAACAACCCCGATCCGCAACAGACCCCCGTGGGCAGCCTCAGCCTCCAGGAGAGCAAGGTAAGCCACTTCCTCCGTTTGTCCGCACTGGGGAATTAACGCGGGTTGATCCCACTTGGAGTGCTCGATGCTACGGAACCAGGGGAGGTCTCATTTGACAACAACCTTCAGGTCTTTCGGAGGATGCCTTTCTGAGGATGCCTGCCAGAGATGCAGGCGAAACGTCAGGAGAGAATGCTACAACACCGACAACAACCTTCAGGTTGTTGTCGGTGTTGTAGCATTCTCTTCTGACGTTTCGCCTGCATCTCTGGCAGGCATCCTCAGAGGCTGTGAGGTCTTTTGCCTTCTCCAACTACAATGCTCCTGAGCCTGGTTATGATTCCAGAGGCAGTTCAAAGTGGCATTCATTCTACCCTTTTAGGACTAAATAAGATTCAAACCAAGCGCCTCGTTGGCTTCTGCCACGCTTTCCACTCACAGCAGCCAAGGTTTTCTCAAATGCAGCTCTCTCTTTTTCTCCCAGGATGGGAGTATTGAGTATTGTCATCTCCACGATTTTTGGTGCAAACGTGCCAACTCCACCCTTTGTTTTGCAAACCGTTTCCCCCTCCAGCCTCGTCTGGCTTCTTCTGCTGCCATCCATGCCCTAACCATTGGCCATGCTTCCTTTCCCCAATTGTTCTCTCCCTCTACTATTCCAGTAGTAGGGAAGCCAGGGCAAGAGCCAGAAAGTAAGACTTGCCTTGTGTGTCATCATCACCATCATCGTTATTACAATCACAACTGCAGCATCTTCCATGGAATTGAATGGCAAGCTTTCTATTGAGTCCATCATAGCTTCCCATCATATTGGGAGCATTGCAGAATCCAAAAGTAAGCCTTGCCTTGTGTATTATTATTATTATTACAATCACAACTGCAGCATCTTCCATGGAAATGGATAGCAAGCCTTCTGTTGGGTTCACCATCTTCCTGGGAGCCCAATGCAGAATCCAAAAGTAAGCCTTGCCTCATTTATTATTATTATTATTATTATTATTATTATTATTATTATTATTATGCAATCACAACTGCAGCATCTTCCATGGAATTGGATGGCAAGCTTTCTATTGAGTCCATCATAGCTTCCCATCATATTGGGAGCCATTGCAGAATCCAAAAGTAAGGCTTTCCTCATTTATTATTATTATTATTATTATTATTATAACAATCACAACTGCAGCATCTTTCGTGGAATTGAATGGCAAGCGTTCTATTGAGTCTATCATAGCTTCCCATCTTATTGGGAGCCATTTCTGAATCCAAAAGTAAGCCTTGCCTTGTGTATTATTATTTTTATTATTGCAATCACAACTGCAGCATCTTCCATGGAATTGAATGGCAAGCTTTCTATTGAGTCCATCATAGCTTCCCATCATATTGGGAGCCATTGCTGAATCCAAAAGTAAGGCTTGCCTTGTGTGTTGTTGTTGTTGTTGTTGTTGTTGTTGTTGTTATTATTATTATTGCAATCACAACTGCAGCATCTTCCATGGAAATGGATAGCATTTCTGTTGGGTTCACTATAGCTTCCAATCTTCCTGGGAGCCCATTGCAGAATCCAAAAGTAAACCTTGCCTTGTATATTATTATTATTGTTGTTGTTGTTGTTGTTGCAATCACAACTGCAGCATCTTCCATGGAATTGAATGGCAAGCTTTCTATTGAGTCCATCATAGCTTCCCATGATATTGGGAGCCATTGCAGAATCCAAAAGTAAGCCTTGCATTGTGTATTATCATTATTGCTATTATTATTATTATTATTATTATTATTTCAATCACAACTGCAACATCTTCCATGGAATTGAATGGCAAGCTTTCTGTTGAGTCCATCATAGCTTGCCATCATATTGGTAGCCATTGCTGAATCCAAAAGTAAGCCTTGCCTTGTGTACTGTTATTATTATTATTATTATTATTATTATTACTATTACTATTATTATTACAACAATCACAACTGCAGCATCTTCAATTGAATTGAATGGCAAGCTTTCTGTTGACTTCATCATAGCATCACATCCTCTTGAAACCTCATTGCAGAATCCAAAAGTAAACCTTGCCTTGTGTATCATCATCATCATCACCAAAACTGCAACATCTTCAATGGAATTGAATAGCAAGCCTTCTGTTGAGTTCACCATAGCTTTTCATCATCCTTGGAAGCCCATGGGTACAATCCAAAAGTAGGCCTTGCCTTGTGTACCATCATCATCATCATAACCACAATTACAGCATCTTCAGTGGAATTGAATGGCAAGCCTTCTGTTGAGTTCACCATAGCTTCCCATCCTCTTGGGAGCCCATTGCAGAATCTGAAAGTAATCCTTGCCTTGGGTATTATTATTATTATTATTATTATTATTATTATTATTATTATTATTACAACCACAGTATCTTCTGTGGAGCCCCCGGTAGTGCAGTAGGTTAAACCACTGAGCTGCAGAACTTGCTGACCAGAAGGTTGGCAGTTCAATCAGGGAAGTGTGGTGTGCTCCCGTTGTTAGCCCCAACTTCGGCCAACCTAGCAGTTAGAAAACATGTAAGTGTGAGTAGGTCAATAGGTACCACTCTGGTGGGAAGGTAATGGTGCTCCATATAGTCATGCTGGCCACATGACCTTGGAGGTGTCTATGGACAATACCGGCTCTTTGGCTTAGATGAGCGCCACTCCCCAGGGTCGGACACAATTAGACTTAATGTCAAGGGGAAACCTTTACCTTTACTATCTTCTATGGAACTGAATGGCCACATTTCTGTTAAGCTCACCATGGCTTCCTATCAACTGTTCTTTCCATAGGGAACCACATTAGGGTTAGGATGGAGTGGGACTGGATGGGACCTTACATTGGAGGGAGGTTCATCCAGCTCTTTCCAGTCCGATTCCCATGATAGGAACATCCTGAAGGTTTGTGTATGTGTGTGTGTGTTTATCCTAGCATTAAAGTCATGGAAGCTTATGTAAAAACCCATCCAGTTCTCCGTACGCATACTGATGCCTCCAATCATTACAGATCAAAAATCAAATTACAGGAGGGACTCACAGCCGCACCTCTCCCTGACCTTTGAAAAATCAAAATCCCCTTCCCAGCCTCTTTCTTCCCCCCCTTAAATATAAACCAGCTTGATTAATTGCATATCCTTTCTGTAATTTCCTACTCGCCACCCTTCATCTCCACTTGATCCCAGTCATTTAAAAGGCAGATGTGGGGCTTTCAACATCCTGCAGTGCATGGGTGGCCATGCATATCCAGGATGGGATATAGGTGCCTCGTTGGCATGTTTTTGTATAAAGACAGGAGGGAGATCAAAGGAAGCGGGGAAAGGCAGAGGGGATGGAGAGGAAGAGCATTGCCACTTCTGTACACATCATGTGCATGCGTTTGTAAGAGAAGCAGGAGCGGGAGCCCGTACGCAAAGGTTACTAGCGCACAAATCTCATAACATCTTAATTACGGTGAGGTGGGGAGGGGGAGGCCTTGGAAACCAGCAATTTCTCCTGGTGGGTCTGTGTGTGTCTGCCTGCATGTCTCACTGCAGCAGTGTGACTTATTAGCGCACGCTTTAATTGCAGCCTATGCTGTTATGATACAGGCAGTCCCCACGTTATGAACAAGATAGGTTCTGTTGGTTAGTTCTTAAGTTGAATTTGTTTGTAAGTCACAACAGGTACATTTTTTAAAGTGTAACTCCAGCCAATAATATATATTTATTAGCTTTGGATCACATACTTACTTACTTAGGTAATTCCTCGTTGGCCGAGTAGGATAGTCTTCCAGGATCAGTATTCTGGTGGGTCCGTAGGTGACTGTGGAGCCCAATTCTTGATCTGCATCTTTTCCTGCAGTGGGGGCATTGGTTTCCAGGTGGAAGGCGGTCTCGGTCGGGGTTAGCTTGGTGTGCCTTCTTCTTGGCACCTTTCTCTCTTTCGCCCTCTATTCTGCAGCACTGCTGGTCACAGCTGATCTCCAGCTGGAGCGCTCAAGGGCCAGGGCTTCCCAGTTCTCAGTGTCTATGCCAGAGTTTTTAAGGTTGGCTTTGAGGCCCATCTTTAAATCTCTTTTCCTGTCCACCAATATTCCGTTTTCCATTCTTGAGTTCGGAGTAGAGCAACTGCTTTGGGAGACAGTGGTCGGGCATCTGGACAAAGTGGCCCGTCCAGCGGAGTTGATGGTGGAGGACCATCGCTTCAATGCTGGTGGTCTTTGCTTCTTCCAGCACGCTGACATTTGTCCGCCTGTCTTCCCAAGAGATTTGCAGGATTTTCTGGAGGCAGCGCTGATGGAATCGTTCCAGGAGTTGCATGTGACGTCTGTAGACAGTCCACGTCTCGCAGGCATATAGCAGGGTTGGGAGGACAATAGCTTTATAAACAAGCACCTTGGTATCCCTACGGATGTCCCGGTCCTCAAACACTCTCTGCTTCATTCGGAAAAATGCTGCACTCGCAGAGCTCAGGCGGTGTTGTATTTCGGTGTCGATGTTGACTTTGGTGGAGAGGTGGCTGCCAAGGTAGCGGAAATGGTCAACATTTTCTAATGTTACACCATTAAGCTGTATCTCTGGCATTGGAGAGGGATTGGCTGGTGACTGCTGGAAGAGGACTTTGGTTTTCTCAATGTTTAATGACAGACCAAGCTTCTCGTATGCTTCTGCGAAGGTGTTTAGAGTGGCTTGTAGATCTTCTTCTGAATGCGCAGATCACAAAGGGAAGGGTTAACACCCTGTGGTGTTTGTTTTGCTGTCTGTGCCCATGTTCCAGAATATTTCCCCTCACTTTCCGTCCCTGTGATAATTGGATTTTCAAAAATGTGGCTTGTTGTGGAAACAATGATGGGTGAGAAAGCTTCAATGGAGACCCCTTTTCCCCATGATAACTCTTCCAAGAGTGAATTTCCCTTCCTAAAAGTAGATTTCTCTCACTTCCTGTTGTCTCACCACCATTCTTAATTATGATCTAGGGAAGATCCAGGGAAGTCATTCTGCCTTGGTTAGACCACACCTGGAATATTGTGTCCA